TTAGTGTGTTGTGATGATGCTCAGGGAATGAGTGTTAGGTAATATAAAAAATTTTAAAAAGTTGCAGGAGAAAAAAAATGCACATTTGATGACTGCAGCGAGCTGTATGGGCACAGCTGGGTACTACTTTATAGTATGTTCATTCTACTCACTGGTGTTTATGCCTAGGGTCAGATTTGGGTACATGTATAGGTATGTGTCAGCTGTGCTAGCTACTGGATATATTTAGACTAATTAAGTTCATTGGCAGAACAATTGAATGGGGGGGCGGAAGGCATGGAGGGCAACCATGGATGCCAGGGACAATGGAGGAGGAAGATGGGACATAGCAGAGGGTGGGGGATGGGGAATCAGGGATGGCAAGACAAAGGGCAAGGTATGCAGGACACAAGAATTGGGAAATTATTTGCTGAGAACATATATGTTGATGTGCTTGATTGAGCCAATGCACAGTATATCTTGGATGGAAAATTCATTTGTGTGTTGTGATGGTGTTTAGTGAATTAAGGTAGAAAATAAAAAAATAAAATGAAATAAAATAGAAAAATAAATAAAATAAATTTTAAAAAATAGAACTTTTCCTCAAATAGGAGCAAGTGTGTTTCCTTTTTACTGTGGAATGAAAACTGCCAAAGTCTCTCTTCTGTTGTGTTTAGCAATGTGATCCAAGGAGGAGTATTCTCTTCAGGTTTTCAAAGAAAAGTATCTCCTTTTTTACAGGTGGTTCATTGAAAGGGAAGATCTCAGAGAGTCTTAAAATCCTAGAATATTTCAGAACTGTAATTCTAGACCTATCTAAAGAGCCAGGGATGTTGTAGATAAAGGAAGTGAGGACCAAATCAGTGGAAAGAAAATAAGGAGAATACAGGAAAAGTTGCATGCCACGCACTAACGTGTTGCACGATTTCGCCAGGGGTCTTTAGATGGGAGTGGTGTGTTTGTAGGGCTGAGTGCATTCCTATGTGGTAATGAGAAGAGAGAAATTTACAAATGAAAGAAGAGAAGGAGAGAGGAAAAAATAAAGAAAAGCCAGGACATTTTTCTTAATGGGAATTTTTCTCATAAACCAGGATTTCATTTGGCCTGAGGCCTTGGAAATAAATCAGTTTCTAACACAAAAGTGATTTTGTAGTGCAGATCACTGTTCTCAATGCTAGTAGCACAGCAGCTAATTAAGCGTATGGAAAATACTTATTTTGATTATAGACTCACCCTCCAGATATCTTAATTTAATAATTTCATATTCAAGCCCAGTACATCAGTAAAAAAAATAAAATAAAAATAAAGCCTTCTACGTTATTCTGACTCCAGAACTGAGAAGCACTTGTTAAGGGGATCAATTCTATTCACACGTGCAGTTGCTTACACTTTAATAAACTCTTATTTTGATCTATACTAACTTGATGCACTAATTCCTATCTGTTGGCTACCTTCACTTTCTTTCACAGAGCCAATTTTTTAGTCTAACTCTATCACCAAGTTATTTACTCTGTCCAATAAAGAGTTGGCACTTACTTGGGGCAAATTTTAAGTTAACTTTACTCGGTCTATCTAAGACTTTAATTTTCTATTCCTTATGCCTTTTGTCATCCACATTGATGACAATGATCACCAAAACTTTCTAGATGGGCCATAAACTTTTGGTGAACTAAAATTAGAGTGACCCTCCTCTGCTGCTGTGATCTGTGAGGTGGGACTGCCAATCCCTGCTGAAGCCAAAGACACTGCCGCTACCCAGTGTCAAGGGTGCTGATGCCTCAAGTGCCTGGGATAAAGCCCCTCTCTGGTGACACCCATGACCCAGAGCGCTGGGTCTGCATGAGGTGCTTCACTGGCTAGTCACCATTTCTAGCTGTCATTGTTCTGCTCCCTAAAGCAATCCTATCTTTCTGGGACCCAGCAGCTGGGAACATGCTATCAAGAAAACCTCCCATCAACCCTTGATACTGGTCCATTGTCCTGGGAGCACATTTGTTCCTTCCTTGTAGGTTCCCCCTCCCACTCGTCCAGCCTCATCTCCAGTGGCCCAGACATGCCAGAATGCTGGCCAGGACTCAACTCAACTCTGATCTTGACCTCTGCCATAAACAGTTCACATTTGCTTCCCTTAAGTCATTTCACTATCTTTTTTTTTTCTATGTATAACTCATTTTTCCCAACCCAACCCTGTTCCATTCTCTTGAATATAATTTGGTTTCTGGACTTGACCTTTTACCCAGCTAAAATAAGTGTAGAAAATCCACTGATGAAAACAAACAAATCCCTGAAATTACAGTGTTTTTCACCTCTCGGGACAAAGTTCTTATATATGCTTAGCAGCTAGCCCACTGTTTCTGTTATACCCTCAGAAACAAATTGGTGAGTCTATACACTTTCTGAAACTGGCATACCCTAGATGAACTCTTTAGACTAAACTTTCTCTACGCTCCATATTTTCAGTTGAACTCCTCAGTTCTCTTGGCCAGGCTGTATAGGACTCTCCTATTCTCTGGCAGTATATGTGTCCTCCTCTCACTGATAGTAAATCTTCACTTTACACCACCTCCCTCTAGTGAAATACAATTTCAAATCCACAGAAGAAGTCACCAACTTGCTCTCTTCCTACTTATTAAGTCTGCCTCCCACATTGGAGAACTAAATTGGGATTTTAGGTGGCTTAGAGACATAAAACATCAATGACATCAAAATAAAGGCTAAGACTAAGCCCAGGTGGTGTAGTCTGTTGTGTTCTGCATTGCAGAGCTGGAAACTACAGGGCTAACCATGGACTCAGATCTGTGGGTCAACCTGGAAACACACCAGAGACAGGTACAGGCACCTGGTATCCTGTGGAGCTGGACAGCTGTATGTTGATCACAATGTGATCAGACTTCTTTTGGTGCTTCCCTCTCTCATGCATGCACTATCAAAAGAAAATAAAGGCAGTGTAAAAGAGTTCCCCTTTCACCACACCCCCGCCAACACTTATCATTTTTTGTTTTTTTAATATTAGACATTTTGACTGGGGTTAAGTGGTACCTCATTGTTGTTTTTATCTGCATTTCCCTTACGATGAGAGAGGTTGAACATTTTTTCATATGCCTTTTGGGCATTCATATGTCATCTTTTAGGGAGTGTTTTTTTTTTTCAACTCCTTCTCCCATCTTTTAATAGGGTTGATCATCTTTTTTCCAAACAGCTTTTTTAGTTCCTTGTGTATTCTGGTTATCAGTCCCTTATCTGATGCAAAAACTGTGGCACATATACTCTATGGAATACTACTCAGCCATAAAAACCAACAGGACCCTGGCTTTTGACAGAAAGTGGAAGAATATGGAAGATGTACTGCTGAGTCAGGCAAGCCAGGCTATGAAGGAGAGACATTGTATGTCCCCACTTAACATATACCATATTTCTGCATTCTATGGCTGAAACTGATTGACTAACGGTTGAACAAACACAAGAGATGGGTGTGAATGTCAGACGAGGTGTATATGGAGGAGTGGGGCCTAACAAAGGACATTTGGAGAAGGGATACAGGGGTAGAGCATTGACTGGATGGGGAGGTGTGGTGTTATCTGTTAAAGATATTTTGATCAACGGGTCTGGGGAGAAATGTGCACTTACCGAAATGGTCTCATTGTAAGCCAAACAATATGATTGAAAGTATATACAAAAAAAAAAAAAAAACAAATAATAAATTTTAAAAAAGAAAATAAAGGCTAAAAGAAAATGAGGGATAAAAGTGAAGATGAAAATGGAGGGTTCCAAATGAAGGAATTCACAGATCTACAGAGTCAACAGCCCCTTTAGAAGAACAAGAGACCAGCTGTGAATCTAGATAACAGGTGCAGTTTGATCAGCAATGGATCTTAAATTATTTATAGAAGTACCACTTCAAATGAACTTTAAAAGTATTGTAGTCTGTTAATCTAAACACTTAAAATAGGGACTCTAAACACTTAAAATAGGGACATACCACAAATACAAAACAAAAGGGTGGATAATGAACAATGTCTCCAAGTCTTCCCCATACTGGCTCCTGTCCCTAGCTCCATCCTCAGCTCTAACCCCAAAGGCTATGATCATCACCAGTCCCCTGTTCATCCTTCCAGCACTGAAATATGCAGAAACAGGATGTCAATAATATTCTTTAGACAAAGAATTCACAAACTCTGAGGTCTATGTAGGAAATGGCTCTTTTCTCTGCTGACTCCCCCACCCCAACTTTCCCTGCTAAGTAGATTTATCATCTCCTCTGGATATGATTCCATGAATGTTCCATCTCTTTTTCACTCAAGCTTATTTGTTTATTTCTTTCATAAGAGAGACACACAGAGAGAGGTGGGCACCACTGATAGGTTCCTCATGCTGTGATCCACTCTTGCTCTCTGCCAGTTCATATCATGGGCACATGTGTACCTGGCATGTTCAGGGAAGTCTCTGGGATGGGAACCCAGGACCTTCCAGTGTGGCCTCAGCCTCGCAGAATGTCACATCAGGACCATCACAGCTGGCCCTCCATCTCTTTTTGGCTATTAAAATCAACATTATTATTATCAACAGCATTATTCATTTAAAATCTTCAATTTTATCATTTTTTCAAAAATCTTTCTCTATCACAGAGGCAGGCAAGATTTTAGGGTTGACATGCACAGAGACTCTGCAGCCAAACTCCCCTAGTTTGTATTGTGACTGCCATTTGGCAATTCCATTACCATGGAGGCAGGGTGACCTTCTGCCTCTGTTCCTTGATCATGAAGTGGGTAACAGCAGTTTTTACCCCTAGGACTGTGTGAGGTGTTAGTGAGTTATTCGTGTTGTGCATAGGTCATGTTATAAATGCTATGTAAATTTAGCTATTCTTAATGTTACTGCAATGGGAAGGGGCTTCCTCTCCCACATTTCCCTGTTCCTGCTCTCCCTTTCATTTTCCCTGTCTTTATTTTTCTGGGATTATGGCTGATCGACTGGGAAATATTTTTCTTATTTCATCTGTAGATGGCATGATTTCTTGTCACTTTCCTGCTGTTACTGCTTCTGACCCAGTAGGAGTGGCCCAGCTGCTCTTCTGACAAAAAATTTGATCCTCTAGGAAAGTGTTTCTCACATTCTGGAAGCTTGCCTGTGTGTGTGTGTGTGTGTGTGTGTGTGTGTGTGTGTGTGTGTTTTCTAATTCCTGAAACATGGGCTCACTTGACCTCTGTGCAGAGATCCCCAATGACTGGCAGTCTCTAATCATATCCTTCAACTCAGGTGCTTGCTGTAACTATGATGCATGTCTGTATCTCATTGTCTATAATTCTATAAACCTGTCAGAGCAATACTATTTCCTTGATTCAGTAAGCCCTCACAGTTTTGATCTCTGAACAAAGCTAAATAAACTCTCATGATGGGTCTGTGCCCACCTCTGTATCCAGAACTCCTCCCAATCCTATAGTCTTCATTCCAGGTGTTGTCATGGGTGGGTGCTGTGAGGCATTCCTTAGACCAGCCTCCTTCACTTCAGGACCAAAACTCCTTCCCCAGGTGTGGGGCATGTTGGCATCTGGGAACTGGCAGATGAGTAGGCTGAGATTTATCTCAGTCAAATGGCCTTCTCACCTAAGAGAATGGCTCTCTCTGGGGCACCCACATCTGATGACTGGTTGGTTGATGTCGGGGGGCAACAAGACCCAGTTCTTTATTCAAAGAGAGTCAATTCAGAAAGGCTGCTCTAGTTCCAGAACCCCCCACAGGAGTAGCTATGGTCTGCTGCCCAACACTGTTGCATTTTAACTCCCCTCTTCCAGTCTTGCTTCTTCCATGAACCTCGAGATCTGCTCTTTGGGAACTGGTCTCAACAGCAAATCAGTAAGTTCCCAGGATGCCGATTCCTTTCTAGAGTCATACCTTTAAACTCTACAGTTCTATAAATGTATGTTACCACCTCCTTTCCCTGTGCCATCACAGGTGCTATTTGCTCTTCAGGGGTGTACCTTGCCTTCATCTAGGCAGTCCACTCCTCCTTCAAAGTCCAACTCGGGTTTTCTCTGACCTCAAGTTAGACGTGAAGCATCTTCATGCTTCTATCATTCCTGCCTACTGCAGCTTCTCCCTAACTTATAATAATTTCTACTTACCCATTTCTAAAATTTCGCCTCCCTTGGACTATAAGTGATTTGAGGCTAGTGTTTGAATTTTATTTTACTTTGTATCTCAAAAGGGCAGCATAACATTGGCACCTAGTAAATGTTCAACAAATATTTGTTGAACAAATTAGTGAATGAGGAATGAGTGAAGCATGATTCAGATTTTAGTTGCTGTACAGATTATAAAAGCATTACAATATCTCTCCATAACAGAATGTGGTTTTAATACCAATTCTCTTCATATCATGGATGGCAAAATTCAACTTATTCATCAATCATTACCAAGGATTTAATTTAATTTAATTATCAGTGACTTTGACCTAGGACCCAGTCTATAAAGCATCAGTCTATAAAAGTTTTCATGTTCACACTGGTTCATTTCTCTGTTAAAGGGTGGAAGAAAACATATCGTTTTATGGTAATCCTTCTCTGTTTTCTGTATTAATTTGGACTTAGATATTAAATAGTGGTAGTGTCTATTAGATGTTCAGGATTTCAATACAGTTTTTAAAACTTCAGGATAAAGACCCATTAAGACAATACGGTACTATACACTTCAGAAAACACAACAATAAATAATCACAATTTGACAGCCTCAAGGATTCTGCAAACTAGCCATTTTGGGGAGACAGAAATAAAGACTTCCCACTGATAATTCAGCCTCCAGCACACAAAACTTGCATGGAAGGAAGACCCCTTCCAGGCCTCCTGTTTCTGTACCTGTCTTTCTCTCTCTACCTCTGTCTCTGTCTCCTTTCTTCTTTTTTTAATTTTTTATTTTTAGAATTTTTTAAGGAAAAGCATTTTCTGCACTTTCTGGCCCCTCCTATGCCTTTATTTTGTTAAAATAACTCCCTCTCCCCCTCCCAACCCAGGAGAGGCAAAGGGAAGAGCCCCTCTTGAAGTTACAGCCTCTTGGATTCTGCAAACTAGCCATTTTGGGGAAACAGAAATCTCAAGACTTCCCACTGATAATTCGGCCTCCAGCACACAAAACTCACGTGGTAGGAAGACCCCTTCCAGGCCTCCTGTCTCTGTACTGTCTTTGTCTCTCTCTACCTCTGTCTCTATCTCCTCTCTTTTTTTTTAATTTTTGATTTTTAGAATTTTGCATGGTGTGCTTGTGCCCCATGCAGTTTTCCAATTTTTAGTTTTTTACTGAAATCTTTTTAAATATTAATTTTTTTAGCTTTTTTGAACAGTTTCTATCTTTGTTTTTTCTTCTCTTTTTCTGTTTCTTGTTTGTTCTTTGCTGTTGTTGCTGTTGTTTCTCTTTCTGTTTCTTTTTATGCATGCTCCTCAACACTCAGATTTAACTTCCAAGTTTGGGAAGAAACTGACCATCCACCAGATGACTAGAAATCGCTGCAGGACCACAAGATATATGGGAAAGTAGGAAAATACCTCTCCTCCAAAGGAAAAGGATAATTCCTCTTCATCCACACACAGTTCAATGGAATTCATGGATATGTCTGATAAAGAATTCAGAACATTCATAATGGCAAAGCTAACAGAGATGGAAGAGAAGAGAGACAATGAACTGCTGAAGAGGAAGGAGAAAGGAGTTGAAGAGTTCCAGGAGGTGAGGAAATTCATGCAAGATCTAAAAGAGGAATTTCACACTTTACAAAAGAATCAGATGGAACTGTTAGAGATGAAGGCTATAATACAAGAAGTCAAAATCTCCCTTGAAAGTATTAAAAGCAGACTAGATCATACAGAAAATAGAATCTCTAATGTAGAAGAGAAAATGGTTGGCCTAGAAAAATCCACCGCGAAGACTGAGAAAATGGCCCAAAAATTTGAGAATAATATGCGAGAAGTACTAGATACCATCAAACGTCCAAACATCCGGATAATAGGCATCCCAGAAGGTGAAGAGACTCATAAGGGCATTGATAATCTATTCCATGAAATCTTACAAGAAAATTTTCCAAACCTGGAGAGGCACTCAAAGATTCAGTCCCAAGAAATACAGAGGACCCCAAATAGAATCAACCCAAGAAGATCTTCTCCAAGACACATTATAGCCAGATTGACCAAAACCACAGACAAAGACAAGATACTAAGACTGGCAAGAGAAAAAAGGCAAGTTACCTACAAAGGGTATCCCATCAGACTAACGGCAGACCTCTCATCGGAAACAATGAGAGCGAGGAGAGAATGGGAAAATGTATTCAAAGTATTAAGGGAAAAGCAATTTCAACCGAGAATTCTGTACCCAGCAAGGTTATCGTTCATGAAAGTAGAATGGAATATTATTGATGATAACATGGATGATTAAGCCACTATGCAGTTTATTCTAGATGGGAAACCACATTTAGTATGTTGTGGTGATGCTCAGGGAATGAATGTTAAGTAATTTTTTAAAAAGTTGCAGGAGAAAAAAAACAGTAAAACTGTTCATATCGAAATTTAAAAAATGCATATTTGATGACTGCAGTAACCTATATATCCCCAGCTAGGTACTACTTTATAGTATGTTCATTCTACTCACTGAGGTTTATGCCTAAAGTCAGACTTGGGTTCATGCATAGGTATATATCAGCTGTGCTAGCTATTGGATATATTTAGACTAATTAAGTTCATTAGCAAATCAATTAAATGGTGGGGGGCATAGAAAGCAACCATGGATACCAGAGGCAATGTGGGAGGAGGGTGGGACATGGCAGAGGGTGACGGATAGGGAATCAAGGATGGGAAAACAAAGTATACAAGACATAAGAATTGGAAAATTATTTGCTGATAACATGTATGTTGATGTGCTTGACTGAGCCAATATACAGTGTATTTTTGATGGAAAATTAATTGGTATGCTGTAATGATGTAGTGAATTAATGTAAAAAATAAATTTAAAGAGAAAAAAATTTAAAGGTAAAATAATAATAATAATAATCGCAATTTTTGCCCTTAAGTGATAAAAAGCAAGAAATCTGTCTGTAGGCATAGAAAACAATGCAGAATAAGATCAAAAGGAAAGATGCACAGTAGGATGGTTCTCAAACAAGGAAAGGATGATATCTAATCAGGGACTGGGGAGGGGCTACATTTGGTGGGAAACACTTCCACAGTGAGGCTGAGAGGAAGCATAAAATAGGGAGAGTGCTATGGAGACAAGTCAGGAGATGGGGGTGGATGGGAGACAGAGTAGGGTAGGTACAAGCTCATCCTTCTGAATCAGTGTGAAGGTCAATTGCAAGATACTGGCGAGTAAGCCAAGAAAATGACCCTGCAGGAAGAAGAGTTAAAGACAGTTTTTAATTAACTGTCCCCTTTTCTTTTCCATTCACACACATGTATTTTAAACAATCAGTATAACTTCCCTGTAAAGGAGACTGTGAATAAGGTATTATTTTTTTCCAAGAAATCTCAGTTACATTAATGTCCTTATAGAACATCACTTACCATGTGGTGCCATTTCACACTGGACTGCAGCATCTGGAGACTACTCGCTAGCCAGAAAGAAGGAGACTGGTTAAGAGGGAATGAACATAATCTCTTATCACCTTAGCAGGACCTTATCCCCAACCTGAAGTTAGTATGAATTTGATGGCAAAGCCCAACAAAGACACACGCACAAGTTACAAAAGAAACATTATGAATATTGCTGAACAATACTTAGCAAAAAAAGATTAGTGAACAGAACTGAGCATTACAGTAAAAGAATAATGCACTATATAAAAAAGTGATGTTCATTCCAGACACAGAAGGTGGTTCAATAAGAGAACCTATTACTTTTGGGCTAGCTCATGGTTTGGTGGCTAAGGCAGCTAGATCCCACATGGCTGACTATACAGTTGCAGTCCTGACCTCAGTGTCTTGGTAAATATACAAGGTGTATGTGTGCCCAACATTCCAAAAGGAGAGAGAGAGAGATGAAGGAGAAGAGATTGCTCTATCTCTCTCTAATAATGTTTCTCTCTAGTATATGCCCTCTAGCAAAAACAACAACAAAAACACTTTATAATTTTCAATATTAATTGTTTAAAAATATACATGATCAATTTTATTGAGGTCAAAATTTCTGATGAGATATAAAATTTAATCTTGATAATTCCTAATAAAATATGTATGAAGCTATTTTCTGAATATGGCAAGCATAAAAGCCAGAGCATCAGGTGTAATGCAGAAATAATTACTGAGGCCAACCAGTAGCATGGTGGTTAAAGTGCTGGACTTGCACTTGGCCAACCATGGTTCAAATCCTGAATCTGGTAGCTTCAAAATCATACCAGGTGAAAACCAGATGACATAGAAATTAAATCGTTGGACTCCCACATGGCCAATCAAGGTTCAAATCTCGAACCTGGTGGTTTGAAAATCATGGCAGACACATGGGAGTGTATGCTTAAGATCCGAGGAGGAGAAAGGAGAAGTAATTGTGGCATGGCCATTCTCCCTGGGGGTGATCTTTGACTGTGTCTGTCTCTTTCTATTCAGCAAGTACAAGTGCCCTAAGGCAAAAAATCTCTTTAAAAATTACACTGGGTGTGTGTGCATGCATACTCAAAATCTCAAAAGGAGAATGAAAAAAAATGGATTGCAGCGTGGCCATCCTCCCTGGAGGATGATTTCTCACTTTCCCTCTTTCTATTTCTCTGTCTCTCTAAGGTGAGTGCATGTGCCCTACTGCAAAAACTAAACTTAATTAATTAATTAATTAATATAAAGAATAAGACCAAGATGAATATTATCACTACTATAATTTACCATATCTGGAAGTACCATATAGCATTATTAGAAAATAGAAATAATGTATGTATTAATTTTGGAGAGGAAAAGACAAAAATATTATTTTTTTAATTATTAACTTCATTGCAAGCAATATGGTTACCTTTTTATTCTTCTATGTTACAAAATGGTTTAATTAGAATTGGAATTATTGGTTACTGAAATGTTTGGTAAAATTCTCATAAAATCTTTAGGACCTGGTATATTTTGTTTACCTGTTTGGGTGGGTAGCCCTTTGATAATTACTTTTTTTTCCATTTTAATTTATCTACTTAGATTTTCTAGATCTTCTGCAATTCTATTTTTTTAAAGTAAAGTTTCTATTTTAGAATAATTTTTGATTTAAAGGAAAGTTGCAAAGATAGAACAGAGAGTTTCATAAATCCATGTGGAATTTCTCTCAATTATTACATTTATTTTGTATTATTTTAATTTATTTTATACATTCATCACTTTACATCACTAAGACTTGTGATGAATTTACCCAACATGAATATACCTCACAGCATTCCTGTTGAAGATCAATAGACAATCCTCCATTTCTATGTTCCTTAAATGTTTTGCCTCTATTTTTCTCCTGATTCATTTCCTCTCATTCTCCCCCATTACTCACCCTCTTCCCACACTCTGTCCAGTATTCATAACCATTTTCCATGCTTCTATATCCTCTAATTTTTCATTTTCTGTCATAGAGTGTGGACAGTCAGTAGATATTAAGTGAAGACATACAATGTCTCTCTTTTATAGCCTGGCTTATTTCACTGAGCAGTAAATCTTCCATAGTCATCTACTTTCTATCAAATGCAAAGGTCTTTTTTTGTTTGTTTGTTTGTTTGTTTGTTTGGGTTTTTTTATGGCTGAGTAGCATTCCATAGTGTATATGTGCTAATTTTTTTCAATCCATTCATCCGTTCGTGGACATTTGGTTGGGTTTCATGTCTTAGCAATTGTGAATAATGCCACAACACAGCCATGATAACATTATCAACACCAAGAAATTAACATCAGTGCAATTTAACTAACTAAACTACAAATTTCACTTAGATTTCACCTCTTTTTCCACTGATATCCTGCTCCTGTCTCAGGATACAGTCCAAGACCTCACACTGCATTTAGTCATCATTTCCCCTTAGTCTCTTCAGAACTCTGACAGTTTGATGATCTGACCTCCTCCCCTTGTTATGCTCTGGCCAGTTTGGAAGACTATGGTTAAGTATTTTGTAGCATGTCCCCCTATTTGATTTACCTATTTTTCCCCATATGATTAGACTGGAATATACGTTTTTGGAAAAGAAGATCACAGAATATTGTGCCCACTCATCAGGAGAAAATACTAGATTTTGCATTTATTTATTGGTCCTATTATTTTTCTCTCATTGAGTTCAGGAATTCAATGACATATTTTTAAATTGTATTTATTTTTCATTACTATTCATACATTAAATTGCTATACATCATTTAGATTCTGAAGAGACTACCCAGCATAATATACACCTCAGTCCAGCCCAGTTGAGTACATCCTTGTCAACAGATAATACACCTTATCTGTGTCCCACAAGCGTCTTTCTCTCCATTTTTCCCCCAAATTTTCCTATGCTCTTCCCCTCCCACACTCTCTTTCCACTTTGTCTCTAGTGTCCATTACAATTTTTAATACTTTTATATTCTCCAGTCTTTCAGTCTCTACCATAGAGTGTGGACAGTCTGTATATGTTAAGTGGACACATACAATGTCTCTTTCATAGCCTGACTTGCTTCACTCAGCAACAATTCTTCTATATTCATCCACTTTTATCAAATTCCAGGGCCTTGTTGTTTTTTATGTCTGAGTAATATCCTATGGAGAATATATGCCACACTTTTTCAATCCAATCATCTGTCTGTGGACATTTGGGTTGGTTCCATGTCTTAGCCATTGTGAATAATGCTGCGATGAAAGTTGTGCAAGTGCTCTTCTGACTGAGTGCTCTCCTGTCCTTTGGGTAGATACCCAGGAGTGGAATTGCTAGATCATATGGTAGTTCTATTTGAAGGTCTTTGAGAAACCTCCATATCATTCACCACAGTGGCTGGACCAATTTGCATTCCCACCTACAGTGTAGGAGTGTTCCCCTTTCACCACATCCCCTCCAGCACTTATCATTATTATTTTTTTTTAATCTTTGCCATTATGACTGAGGTTAGGTGGTATCTCATTGTGGTTTTGATCTGCGTCTCCCTTACAATGAGGAATGTTGAGCATTTTTTATACGCTTTTTGACTGTTTGTATGTCTTCCTTAGAGAGCTGTTTATTCAGCTCATTTTCCCATCTTTTAATTGGGTTAATTATTTTCCCAGGTAAGCCGCTTGAGTTCCCTGTGTATTCTGGTTATCAGTCCCTTATCTGAGGCACAGTTCACAAAAATCCTCTCCCATTCCGAGGGTTGTCAATTCACACTAATTACACTGTCCTTTGCTGGGCAGAGACTCCTTAATCTGATGTAATCCCACCTGTCTATTTGGGGGATTAGTACCTGTGCTTTGGGAATCTTGCTTTAGAAGTCTGCCTTCCCTAATGTCTCTCAGCGTTTCCACAGTGTTTTCCACCAGTAGTTTTATAGTTTGTGGTCTTAGGTTTAGATCTTTGATCCACTTTGAGTTGATTTTTGTTAATGATGACAGATACGGGTTCAGATTCAATGACATCTTTTTTTTTTTTTTTTGGAGAGGTTTTCACTATAGGGCACATGCGCTCGCCAGACAGACAGAGACATAGAGAGAGAAAGCGAGAAATCACCCCCCCTGGGGGGATGGTCACGCCACAATCCCTTCTCCTCCATTCTCCTCTTGGGATCATGGACACACACGCACACGCGCCTGGCGTGAGTTTTAAGCCACCGGGTCTGGTACACGAACTGCGGTCAACTACGTGGGAATCCAGCGACATAGCCATTACGCTAACTGGTGGTTCCCTCAATGACATCTTTACATGACCTTTTTCTTCCTTTCTTTTTTTGGACTTATTTTATTGTTCTTTGAATAACTTTATTATAAATATTTAATTATTTCATTCTTCCTTAAAGGCTTTCTTCAAGGTTTTTCTCTCCAGTCTCCTTTGGCTGTATAATACAAGTTCTGATAAGTATTGTCATCAATGTTCATAATTTCTTATCAATTTCCTTTTTGGTCAAAAAAAATGCTTTAAAACTAAATGCTTTAAGACTAAATGATGGGTTGTTTTGCTTATTTGTTTAATAAAGTCATTGCTAGTTTCTACATTTTTAAATTGTAATCAGAGATTATTTCTTCTATTTTTTATTCTTTGGGAGTTATACAGAAATTCTGACCCTAATATAAAATTGCTTTTGTAACTGTTCTACGGACATTGGGGGAAAAAGGGTATACTCTGTTTTAAAGGATACAGACTGATGTATGGGTCTCCCTCACACACACACACCCTCTCTGTCTTTATTTCCATTCTGTCCTAAAGTCTTACTTGTTTTCTGACTCCTTGATGACATACTGACCCAGGTAAAATCTTGTCCTAATGCTGTAAAAGAGTAACAAGTGTTAGGATATAAGTCAGTGACTTTCTTACGGTTGTGTTTGTTCTATCACTTTGATGCTACATGACATATCGCTTATGGATATTTTAATTTTCCATTGTTATGTGTCAAATAACCACAAATTTAAAGGCTTAAAAGCACTCATTTACAATTTCACAGTTTCTGTCAGTCAGAAGGTTTGGTCTCAGCTGATTCCATCCTCTGTTTGAGGTCTACCAGCTGAAACCAGGGAGTACACTGGAACACTCACTTGAGGCTCATGGTCCTCTCCTAAGGTAATTTAGGTTGTAGACAAAATTCCACTCTCTGGGGCTGTCAGACTGAGGGACCTGTTCTCTTGTAAGGTGAGGCTGAGGGCACCTCTCAGCTCCTAGAAGCTGTTTGCAGTCTCTGCTACAGGACCCTTCCTCAAGGCTTCTCACTCCACTGATCTCTGACTGCTGTCTCCAATCTCCAGACAGATCCAAGTCAGGCCCATTTAGATGGTCTCCCTTTTATTAACTCAAAGATGACTGATGAGAAAACTTAATTGTAGCTGTAAAATCCTTATACCTATATTATACAACACAATCATTAAAGTGATTTCCCATCACATATTTCAGCATGGATAACAAGGACAGAAATATTGTGGCTCATTTTAGAAGTCTTACCACAAAGATTTTCATCTTTACTATGGACTATGAAATTTTTCATTATGTGATGCTTTAAAAAAAAAAAGTCAGAAAAGCACTTGTGTATCTATGTTCACTGAAGCATTATTCACAATTTCTAAGACTTGGATTCAACCCCAAATGTCCAAGAACAGGCTAATGGAGGTTTTCCTTTTTCCCCTGGATTGACTGATAATACTTTGTCAAAAATCAGTTGGCTGTATGTTTTGGGATTTATTTCTGGGGTCTCTATTCTGCTCCACTGATCCACATGTCTTTTTTCATGTCAATACTATGCTCTTTTGATTATCATAGCTTTATTTATTTATTGTTATTATTTTCAACCTGACCAGAGACAGACAGAGGAAGAGAGGAAGGGAAGGTGAGAAAGTAAGCCACCAGGTCCAGGATTCAAACCACAGTTGTGTATGTGAAGCCCAGTGCCCCAATCACCATGACACCTGCCAGCCCCTCTGCTTCTCTGAGTTGTACCATTTCTTCCCTAAATTCTTCTGCCTCAGTCTCCCAACTAAGACTACAGTCAGATGCCATATTACCTGGCATTTTTCAGACATGGTCTTGCTGTATTATTAAGACCAGCCTTGAACTCTGATTACCCCCGCCTCAGCATCCTGAGTTCCTGGGATTAGAGGTATGTGCCACCATGTCAGGCCTTTAGATTGAACCAAAATTGGAATCTAAACCCCAATGGGCCCAGCCTACAGAGTACTGTCTTAGCAGCTTGCCACCAGGGTTGGGCCTCTTTCCTAGATTGCCATATATTGTTATATATCTACTTTGAAATATTTTAGAGATACAATCACTTCGTTCAATTATAAAAAGTCATCTTTTTGAGGGCCAGCAGTTGGTGTAATGGCTAAGTTGCTGGACTCCCATGTAGTCAACCACAGTTCAAGTCCTGGACCTGGTGGCTTAAAATCACGCCAGGCACATGTGTGTGCATGCCCAAGATTCTGAGAGGAGAATGGAGAGGAGGGGTTGCATCCTGGCCATAAATGATTTCTCGCTTTCTGTCTCTGTCTCTCCATCTTTCTAGTGAGTTCACGCACCCTATAGCAAAAACCTCTAAAAAATAAAATAAAAAGTCATCTCTTTTTCACAATAGTTCTTCCGGGTTATCAACCTATATTGATTGCTATTTTTTCCCTTTTTACTTATAAATTTTTTTTTTGGAGAGATTTTCACTACAGGGCGCATGCGCTCGCCAGACAGACAGAGAGAGACATAGAGACAGAAAGCGAGAAATCACCTCCCACGGGGGATGGTCACACCGCAATCCCTTCTCCTCCAGTCTCCTCTCGGGATCTTGGGCACGCATACACACGCGCCCGGTGTGAGTTTTAAGCCACCAGGTCCGGGACGCGAACCGTGGTCGACTACGTGGGAGTCCAGCGACATAGCCATTACACTAACTGCTGGTTCCCTACTTATAAAATTTTTTAAGGTCTTATATTTATCCCCTAATTATTTGCTCACTAGTGTACAAGATCAGATACTCCCAGATCCAATGTTCGCACGACTTCCATGTGAAGGAATTTTCCACGTAAGAATTCTGGACCATGAATTTTATATGTAAATTTTCTTTTTATCCTTTCTTTTCCCCAGTGGTTTGACTCTGGCAGCGTTAGAATCTGTGCAGAATTGCCCTCCTTCATCCTGCCACATCTGTAACAGCTTGTCACCATGATTCCTTGTTTAGTGCAACCTCACCAGCTTATCCTTGCTTTGAAACCAGAACCAAACAGTCCTGATGTTCACAACTGACGGGGCCATGCAGTTAACACAAGCTGAGTATGAAAGAACTGCCCCTCAGGCCTAGAGCAAGGACTCGGCTGAGGAGAACTGTTTGCAAGGTCAACAGTTTTACGAGTTCTGGACCTCACCTCCATTGTGTTACTGTATAGGCCTGCACTCAGTTTCTCTGCCATGGGCCTTATTGCCATACCCCGGTACCCCATAAAG